AATAATGAGAAAAACACTTTTTAATTACTATAAAAATATCAAACTATTTTAAGCTTGGATATGTGGGAGGAAGATGAAAAAAAATAAAAATATAAAATTATATTTTTTATTGACATATTTTCCACTTATTTTGGCGTTGCTTTTAATTTTTATAAAAAACTAATCTCTTTTAATTTTTAATTTTCTAGTTCTATACTTATACCCCCTACTTAATCGTCATCTCTAATTTTCCATCATTGCCTGCCGGGCTCAGCTGATGATGATGAGGCCCCTTTCCTTATAATATCTTCGTTCATATAGCTTTTCATTTCAGTTAGTGCGTGTGTCTTTGTGTGTGTGTGTGTTTGTGCAGCGATTATTTAATTGATAAAGATTTCCACATTCCAACGATGCCAGAGGGAAGCCAAACAGTGAGCATGGGGGAACTCGGTTTCGGTTTATCCTGTCGCCCAGGATCGGATCCCGACATCATATCGAATCTCCATTGCAGAGGGCCCTCCACTTTGATAGGTTCCAACTCACCCCAAAGCAACGACCACGGAACCAGCTGAAATCTTTAAAAATACACTGAAAGAAATGATATTTTGAACTTTTAAGATTATTTTTAATCAGATTTAGCTAAGTGTAAGTGTATTTGAAATTATTTTAAAAATCATTATCTTAAACTTTTCATAGTTAACTAAGGAAAGTTAGATATCTTACTTAATAAATTAAATATTTAAAAAACATAACATAAGTTCCTATAATTTGTTCTCCATGTATCGATGGTACTTCGACATCCATCGGGAAACATGAAACCCGAAACCTTTCACCATCATTTGCACTGCGTTCTTGTGGTAAGGTGCCTCTCAACACGCACACTCTCTCAGTTCAGACGCACACACTAGCCCAAAAAACACAAAACACTAATACACTGATAAGGCCAAGAGTGTCTCAACCTGCCAACACTTGTGGATTGGTTCGATCTGCGATCACTTTTTTCATCCCTTAAGTGCACACTTGGGATTTCATACCTATTAATAATGTAACAGAGGAGTGGGTATATCCGACTGTGGAGATAAGACAGAATTCATATTTAGTAAAATATTGAAAAAAAAATTTAAAATCATTACCAATACCATATGAAATATGGATTCTTTTGTGAAACCATTAAAAAATATTTTTACTAAAAGATCTGAAAAGTGAAAAAATATTACAAATAGTTTAAATTTTCCAAGATAAATAAAGAACGAAATGAGTTTCAGGAAACAGAACATCAAAGAACATATCATTTATTATAAGGTATCTTATAGTTCATCATTCTAATACCACATTGACCCCTCGTCAGCTTGGCTGTTCTGCTTGGCTACGCTTCGTTTGGGCGCTAAATTGGAACGATTCTGGGCTGCCATAATCCTGACCAGCAAAACCAAACGTCGCCAGAGATCGATATTTGAGCGTTGGATGGTTTTTGGTCTTGAGCCCGGTGTTCATCGATTCGATCAGTTTTCCGTTTTTTCTTTTTTGGCCTTTGTTCTTTCAGCACTCTCTCTCTCTCTTTCTCTTTCTTCCTTAACTCCCAATCCAGACATTCGGGCAGGTTTCCCACGGTTTCTTCTTTCCTTCTTTCTTGGCTGGGTGCATATTTCATATCCTGGCCGACAACGCACAACTGTTAGGGCAAATCCTTAATGCATAAGGATGGCGGCAAAAATCTTACAATTACCCATTGTTGCCCAAGGGGGGAATGTGTAACAATTAGGCCAGGGCTCGGATTCAGGTCGAGGATCATTGCACAGGATCTCTGCGTAATATCCTTTTCAGTCGAAATCCAAAGGGAACACAATTCAATTGAGTTTTAGGATAAAGTGTAACGAAAAGGATCTGTCGCTATTGCGTCTTCCTGGCTCTTTATTTACCTAATCCTGAAAAATTACCAAATGTTATGTGGGTGGTACAAGGACGATCCCCGTTTCGATAGGCTTCTGCAAAGGGTGGAAAGGTTGTGTGTTGGGATACACCCTCTGGGATTTTATAAAAACCATTGGGATTAATATTAATTATTAGGGATTAATTATTTGATTGATTTTGTATGAAAACTAATTAGTCAATTACAAGCAATTTTATAGGAAATAACTAGGGTTTTAGTTCAGTTTCGATCATTAACTTAAGAAATTTTATATTAAAGATTCTTCTTCTATATATGTATGTATAAAAAGTATAAGTAGTTAAGATTCTGTAATTAAATCTACAAGTTCCTAAGCTTAATTACAAGAAATTTAAACTAAAAAAAGGTTTTTAATGGCCTAGAATAACAAATTTTTAATAAGAAATTAAGTTATAAAAATCAATGTCTCTTTTATCTTTCCTATAAATATCTTCTTTTGGATATCTCCGCTCCAGACATGCATTCGTTTGTTCTTGTCTCCCTCGTTGCACACCTTGTTCCCCCACCCTCTTGTGGCACCCCCTATCATAAGTTTTAGTAATTGGCAAATTACCAACAACAAATAAAAGGGGCGAAAAAAGGAAAGAACAAGAGGCGAACTCACGTCTGGAAATACTTCCGCATCGGGAGGCGACTTTGTCGGGGCTGCGACCAGACTTATTTTTAGATCTGGGCATATAGTGCAGGGCATATATCAAATCGCTGGCTGTCTGGCAGGTCTCTCCTTCTATATGTTTTCTATACAGACATACATATATATCTGTGTTTTGGTGTCTGATTCTAGAGCACAAGTGGATGCCACTTGGCGGCTGCCTCTGGACATTGGCATTCTATTTTAATGAATTATCTGCACTTAGGCATCGAACTAAGAACTAAGAGCTGCGACTATAGCGATCACCCGAAGAAATCGAGAGATAGAGATATATATATGTGTAGTAGTGTGAGAGAAGGCGGGAGTGGTGGGGGTGGTCTAGCAGAAGTAAACTGGTTGCATTGCAATGGCAAAATACAGATGTACAAATGCTGATTGGCTCAATTGGACGACTATTTGAACTCTGACCCCGTACGATCCTCATCGGTGGCTCTTCCTCTTCTGCCGCCTTCGCCCCCACCACCACATATCTAAAGCCCCCTTTCCCATGCCTTTCACCCGGGCATTTCCCGCTGGGCGACGCACCATGACCGAAGCTACTAATTTGGGCCAGTGATCGTCGTTGCGGCGATCACTTGAAACGTCGTCATCATCGTCGTAGCTATTGATGGAAAAGAAAGCACTTGAAATAAATATATTTTTTTTTTTATATATTAAAAGGTATGAAAGATCATAAAGTTTTAAATAATTTTCTAGCTATTACAATCATAATTAAGTAACACAATTAGTTCTTGTTGAAAAACTTAGAAATTCACTTAATGATTGATGAATTTTCTTCAAGTGCAGGGCCACGGAACTGAGGGACGGACATGGAGGGCGTAGGCGGGGTCGTCCGCCTAGTCGCCGTTTATGGGCATTTGACTTGAAATGTCAACGTTAACGCTGCCCGGGGAGAAACTGGTTAACCAACTGAGGCGACTCGAGAGACCCCAAAGCGGATGCAGTGCAACTGAGCGCATCTTTAGACCAACCGACCAACCTGACGAGGAACCCATCCACTTTATGCCCCATGCCCCTCCCTCACTCTTTTCCAAAGAGATTTCCAGTCGCAACGGAGCGGAAATGTTCCAACAATTTATAATTAAAGATTGCCAACTGGTTTCCATGAAGATTCAAGATTTATGGAATCGAAAACACATATCAGCTAGCACCTCAAAAACATTTTGTATTACAATAGAGGGCTTTTTCTCAGGCGCGTGACGCTTTTCTTTTTAGTCAGGGGTTCTAATACATAATTATTAAAAAATGGCTGCAAACATTATCTAGCATTGATTACAGTTCCTGGTATTTTCTTATCTATGTTTGTATACGTAAACCTCACAAATTACCAATAATTATAATCGACAAACTACTAAAATATTTTAAATTTTCAATATCATTATGGAGGTTTGATACTACATTTTTACTGGGTAAAAGTATAAACATTCCTAAATTATGAGAGGGTTTTTTACCTTTTTCATAACCCAATATTAAATTTAAGTAAAAAAATATGTTGTAAATATAAAAATCCCCTCTTTGACGCCACCCATGCTTCCTAGTATCAGCGTGACTCTTCTGTTTAAACTTTATCTTCTATTGATTAACAACTAAATCGAGCACCCCACGCGAATTCGACGCCGCCCACTGGCTTCGTTTTCCTATTGAGTTGTTTAATAGTAAATTTTGTGGATTTTAAATTATTTAAATTATTACCCGTTGGTTGTTTTTGCTGTTACGTTTGTTGCCAAGGAAGTTGAAAGAAATCTGTTAATGTTTACGCACCAAATGATTTGTTTGTAGTCTTTGCATACACACGCACGCCAAGGTATAATAACATAATCGAGATTATTATCGTAATTGTGGGTTTTCCAAACAATTTTGAAATAAAAAGCATTAAATGTAATTATTGGGAAATATTTTCCGAATATTAGGGCAAGAATAAGGCTAACCTTGGTTAAATTACATTCTTGACAAGATAAAATAATGTAGTATCTATTTAGTATTTCTTAAATACTAAAATACAAGTTTACGGTAAAACTTAAATCCGATTTTATTTTTTTCTTTACCAAAAATTCAAAATTAATATTACCTAGTTCCGGGCCGTCTCTGTACCAAAAATATATCCAAATGTAATTGAAGTCGAATCTCCACTGTACCTAAAATACAGCTCAGATTTAAGATATAAATCTTGGACACTAAAATGGATCAAAGCGCGACTTCCTTAAATATGTAATTATCTTATTTTCGTATTCTTAGCGAGGCGCCAGTTCTCACAGCAGAGAGAAAACAAGAGCGAGCTAACACTCTTTCTCTTTCACGCTCTTCCGGCTCTCTCTCGCTGTCTCTCCTTTTACGCTCCGCTCATTCGGCGCTTGCGCTGACTGAGACGCCGCTGCTTTGTTCGCCGCTTGTTCAAGACCAAAACGTCGAAATCAAAAACGCCAGTCAAATCGCCAGAAACTGTCGTGGGAGGCGGACGTGTTCAAGTGCCGCTCCAGAAAGCAACTAGACATTCTCTTGTAAATGCCAAACTAATATGTTTTAAATTGATTAATTCACAATTAATAGAATTTAATTCGTGCGCGGCGTTGAGGAATAACGGTTCTTCCCGCAGCCAACTTAACTCGGTGTGTGTTTACTTTACACAAGTGCAAGAGTGTATGGGTGTGCGCGAAACGGAAATAAGAAATAAACAAGAGCGACAGCAATAACAAGAGCAAAAACAACGCAACAAGAAGTGTAAGCAAAAGTGAAAAGGAAGACGAAAGAGGAAATACTAAAGTACAACAACAAATAAACGAACAAAACGCCAGAGTGCAAGTGCATCGCGTGAGTGTCTTACAGTGTGCGTGTGCGTTTGTGTGCTTGCGTTTATTTTAGTGTGTGTTGGTGAGACAGCGGCGGAAGTAGAAACGTTTGACTTGTTCTTCTGCTTTGCCTTCTTTATTTGCTCCGCTTTGCGGCTGGAATTCGTCGCAGAACGAAACGAAAATAAAAACAAAAACAGAGAGCCAGGATTAGCCCCAAAAGCACACAACCACCGCCCACTCATCGGCCCCCCACGAAAAAGGCAAAAGAAACAACAATAATAACAATGGCAACTTGGCGCGACGCCCTCTTCGTCATCAGCAGATAACAACAAGAAAAACATCGAATTAACAAAAACAACAGAGCGAAGCAAAAAGCTAAAGCATTCTGGGATCTGGACATATCCGCTTCCGCGTTTGCTTCTGTCGCTAAAAAAGCTCAAGAATCGAATCCGAAGCCCAACGTAAACAGACAAAATCACTCGCAGTTCGTCACCACGGTGCACAGTGGAGCAAACAGGTAAGATATTGGGAAAATAAACTGCTGAATTATGCGAAAAAAAACGTTTATGTTTATGTGAAAACTAGTTTAATGTTCTTTCCTTGGTGGTATTAATTTTCTTTCTTAAAATCGCAATTATTGGATTCACATTTTTATTATATTATATTTTGCATACATCATTTCTTGTCGTTTAACTTTCATGAACCAAAATATCAAAAATGTTTTGCTAACGTAAATAAAAATTCCTCTACCATAAATGCTTTTATGTCTCCCCAATGGCATAAAATTTGCTTTATTATGGTTAGTCACCCGTTAATCAATTTTCTATAAATACATATAAATATAAATTCCTAAATTAAAATCAAGATATACTAACCACCAGGCACCAACGTACAATGTTTTTAAAAAATGGTTATTAAATTTTCTATTATATTCTCAAGCTTTGGCAAGATCCAAATGATTAAAGGATTTAACGAGTATTACCGTCCATTTTCCTTATATCTTCCTGTTGTCATCTTTGCTTTATTACGAAATTGATAAACACCATCATTTTGGTAGATGTATTTCCCATAACTACGTCACAATGGTCATGAAAACAGTCTTGACTTGTCTGAGCAGCTGATAAATAATTGCTCCACCTTAATCTGCTGTTGGTTATCTGCTAAATATGACTTCCCCACTTCGCTCCACACAATGTCTTACAATGTTTGAGTTTTTGGTCTCTGGTTGAGGTCAACAATTTGTCGGATCTACACGTGTAAACAGATAACTTGGGGCTATATTTGGAGCATACTATATTCGAGATGGGGATACTCGGCAACAATGGTTTATCTAAGGTTTTATTTGATTTATTTGCATGTTATATCAGAAGATCTGACTGTGGCGTTTTTATTAGGGCTTGTTACAATGATACAATTTTATGAAGATCTTTTGGGAGTGGTTTCTTACTTTAATTAATATGGTGGTTATCTGATTGTTCCTCATTTTCTAAATTATTTGTATTTTATAATTATTATTTGGTTTAAGAGAAAAGATATTTCCTATTGTCCAGATATTATAAGTCCATTAAGTTCTACTGAAATTAATTAATCAGTGGAATTTGTTTAAAAAATGTGGTTGGGAACCATATGTTAATATCATAGTATGATAATAATATGATATGATAGTAATTTCTTTTCCCAAGCTTACAATTTTGAGTAGTATTGTATGCACTGCACGCTCTACTGATTCCTTAGCATTCTACGATACAAACAAGATCGATTCAGTTGGAAAATAGCCTTTTCTATACATACATTCCACTCCATATAACGGTACCTAGGGTGCTTTTCGTAATGCCTGTTGCATCATATATTGGCTAGTACCGAGTTTTCCGCCTCGAAAATAAAGAAAACGGTAATTATCGAGAGCTCAGTACATGTCTTGGACTTCATATCGGTATTCTATATGTTATAGAACCGGGCATACGGAATGGTTCTGTTCGGTTCACGAGTCTCTTGTTGCATGCACTTTTCTATGGAAGTGAAGTGAAACAAAAGCGGAGCGTTGAGCTCCAATTAGGGTGACTCCGGCGACTCTGGCAAGCGTCAGCGAAATCTTATCGCAGAGGCGCTATGGCGAAAAGAAATACTCACACAATCATAATAACGTACATATATATATATATATATATTGTATGAAAAAAAGTAAAAACAGCCAGCAGAATTGTGTTTATTTATTTGCCTTTGCCGACCGACGACGTCGAACAAATCAACCAAACAGTTCCTGCTTCTGCCGCAGCTATAAGGTATACATACCAACGTACATATAAATGGGTTTTCAGGCGGTTTGGTGGGGGGTGCGAACTAGACACACACCTGATCGTGCGCCACCTCCGTTATTTTATAATTTTTTTTATAGATGAGAGGAGAATTCTCGCCAATAAATTTCATTATGTACAAAACAAACACAAGCACTATTGGGGACAGGAAAATAGTTCTAAGGAAGAGGGAATTATTTATTATTATGTAACAAGATTATGGCTTTTAATGGTTTAAATTTGATATTTTATTAGTTAAACATTAAAAAATTTAATTTATTTGGGTTTTTAAAATTTTTGGCTTTATTTTTTTAAAGAATTGTTTCAAAAATCTTCCCAAAAACTTCAATATAAACATTTTGATTACAAAATACCACATGCTTAATTTGCATATTATCTATTCACCTGACTATGACTGTTAGTCTTAAGATTTGTTTTTAAAAAAAATAAACAGTTTCTCTTCAATTAGCGGCAATCGAAATACAACTTTTAGAAGCTGCGTTTTTGCATGGCGGTTTTCCTTTCCTGGTTCTCTCTTTCTCCGCTCCCTTGCCATCCCCCGAGAGACTTGGCCTGGTGACCAGCCGGCGGCAGAAAAGCGGCAAAAGCAGCGTAAATACAATAAATTAAATTCACTTCCGCATTGCTCCCAACAAAAAAAAAAGCAAAAACAACGTAATGGGGAATGGGTGAGTGTGTGAATGTGTATGTGTGTGTGTGCGGGGCGCAGCGAAAGACAAACGACGTAAGAGAAAGAGCAAAGCAAGTGCACGGAAGCAAGAGAGCGGGTCAAAAGTGTAAGCGAGATAGAGAGAGGGAGGTAGACAGAGACAGGTGACGATCGCAAGAAAAAGAGGAAGGTGGAGGAGCAAAGCAAACAGGTATAAAAACTGTCGATCATGGGGTGGAAGAGTGTGGGGAAGAGAGGGAGAGATGGAGCAAGAAAACATCGACCTATTCCCTCGCACCCATACTCACACAATAGCCCAGCAACTGACTCACTCACACTCACACGTGCGAATCACAGCCAAGACACAAAAAACAACACAACTATAAGCGGCGGCAAAATAATGAAGGAAAGAGGAAGAAAACGCCAAGCAGCAGCTACAGCAGCAAAAGCAACAATAAAAAACGCCTTAAAGCGGCTGAGATATTAACGCAAAATGCCGAACAAGCAAAAAACTGCCTGAGTATGTGTGCGTTTCGCTCTCTTTTTCCCAGTATTTTGAAGAAAAAACAAAAATATGTAGAAAAAACGACATGACAAGTTCTTTAGAAGGGTCAAACCATTTGATGGATAATACACGTGATCAAGCGATTTGAACAACTAGGTATTACTTTTAAGTAAAATTTTAAGAATATCATAATTGCATTTTATTTAAATATTAAGATTTATTTATATTTACTGTATATTATGTATTTAAACAATTATGTTATGACAACCACAAAAGCCACTATTTATCAAATTTGGGCCACTGAAGGGTTAAGGTCATTTAAAATGTCACAAGTCACACACTGATAATTTGATTGCCTTTGTTGTGGTGTTCTTGTGGTTCCCTTATTTTGGTTTTGTTATAGGGGCAATGCTTTAGCATTTTTTCTTCTTGCAAATTTCGCTTCCTTTTCTTCTATTTCGTTGGCATTTGTAGTTGTAACTTGCATGCGGAAGCTTACATTCAATACAAATACATCACATTTATATACATACAAATATGCATTAAAACACATGCATACATACATGTGTTTGTATGTATGTATTTACATCGCACATAAATATATTGTTGTTATCGCCCAGCAGATGTCGCTATTGTTGTTGGCAGTACATTTGCATTTATAAAGCAGCGAACGAACCACTTGTGCGTACTATTCATCCCATTGTAACCCATTTTATAGTGCAACGAAATCACACTAACCTGAATTTGCCATAAATGCAGCCAGCTTCCATTACGTCGTGTCTCAAATTCGCTAAAAGAAATAAAGAAAGTAGTGCAAAAGGCAAGCGAGAAAAGCAGCAACAACAACAACACTCCAATCAACGATCGTGCGAATTTGCCATTAAAAGCGGTAAAATATACACCCCACTTCCCTCTCTCACATCTTCGCTCTGTCTCTTCTCAACCCAACAACAGTGGGTAAGTTTTGGCTTTTTTTTTTTTAGGATTTGCCATTAAGGATGTCGTCAGAGCACAGTGGGATTATCTACAGCTGTTGCTCATAAGAAACTTCGATATTGTCATGATGTCAATGAGATCATACTTGAAATAAGTCCAGCTTAAAGGAAGTGAATCACTATTCCAGATATTTCCGAGAAATTGCAACTTTATTATGCGGTTAAATGATAGAGCTAAACCTTTAAAAATATATTTTATATGAATGGTTATAAGGTTGTGGGACAATCCTACTAATATACAGAATCAACTATTTTTACAGATAGTTATCATCAATTCTTAAAAGTTCTTTTCTAAACTATTGTCATATTGAAATTTTCAAAACTAATCATCTCCTATGTTTAAAAAGTTATTAAAGTAAAAAGTTTCAAATTATTAATGGATATTTCCTATTGGTTAATAAATTGACTGCTGTCTCACGGATTCAAATTTATATCCCTAACTTTTCGATACAATCTACTTAGTTCTGCACTTGCATCTTTCAAACGATCTCCACCCATCTGGCGGCCCATTCATCTTGCACTTCTGACAATTTCCCGCAATCTTTTCTCACGATCATCATTTCCCCATGTTTCCCAATTTCTGCCCGCGCCGAAAACCCACTAAAACATTGTACACTAATACTCGTATTACTCCACTAGTACAATTTGTTGTTGTTGCAGCCTAAGCCAGCTTAGTCAGGCTATCGCTGTCTCTATCGCTTCGGCCTATACCCGTCTCTTTCGGTGTCTGAGTAACCTGTTGTGTGAATTATGTTACGAACGTAACGTGTTTCAAAATATAGGAAGTCTTGCTTGAGTTATAATACTCCGCTCAACTCGACTTTGGTGCTTTAACGGTGACTTGCTATTATCTAACTACAAAGAGTGGGAGAGGGAGAGAAAGAGATAGCGAGGAAGAGGGAGAAAGAATCGAACGAAGCGAAGCAACAAACAGAAAAAGCAAACACACAAATATTCGCCGCATTTTGTGCAGTTTGTGGCACATTTTCCTTTTGGCACACATACGATAAAGTAGTGAGAGAGGGAGGGAGGGCGCCATAAGTAAGCTAAAGC